AAGCTCCGGGCAGGCAGGTCTGGAGCCACCCTGGACTTCGCCAAGCAGGTGGGACTGGGGGCGCCGTGTCCTGCCACGGACCTTGGAGGGGAGTGTGGGATCTCTGCACAGCCCAGCTTATCCCTGTCCTTCCTGCACAGCTGGGCCATTTCTTTGTGGATCATCCAGAGGATGCGTTCGGCTCCATGGGGCGCCTGCTGCACAAGAACTTCTACCTGGGCAACTCCAGCCTGAAGGTCAGTGTCAGTCCCAGGGGGAACAGTGCTGTCGCCCACCATTCCTCCTGCAGCCCCAACCTCTGCCTGCTCCTCCCTGCAGAGGCCGGCCCGGAGCAGCACCATCCGGATGACAGCCCTGATGGAGGACATTGACCGCCTGGAGGCCCGGCGGTGAGTGTGTCCCCATGTCCCCTGCCCTGCACAGCTCTGGGGAGGGCTCCTCTGTCCCCTCACCTGATGCTGTCTGTGCCTTGCAGCGGCTGCCACCGGCAGCACTTGGCCTCCCGCCTGCGCTGGTTCTCCCACCTGTGCCGTGACTGGCTCTTTGAGGTGCCGCTGGGGCTGCTGGCGGACTGCCTGCACGAGGAGCTGCTGCTGCAGTGGTCTGACCTGCTCTTCAATGACAGCCTCACAGGGGGGGCACTGGCCTGGCTGCCCCCCGGTGACACAGGGTCATGTACTGGCTGCCTGGTGTACCCCGGAGGGCAGGCCATGAACCACCTCTGTATCCTTTCCATGGGGTGTCCCTGGGGAGGGGAGGGAAGGGAAAGGGGGTCATGTTGTACTGCCCTTAGCTGGCATCCCAGTTTTCCAGGACATGGTGCTGGAGGAGCTGCCCCGTGCCCGAGGCTCCCCGGCGCAGTTTGAACTCAGCGGTCGCATCTGGCAGGTGGCTGCAGCCCGAGTGGATGGGGAAGGTGAGTGAGCCCTGGGACAGGCAGGACTTGGGGTGAAGGGGTGGCAGGGAGCCCCAGGGATCCTGCCAGCTCATGTGCCACCTCCTTCTGCCTGACAGATTTCATTGGGGTCCGCTCAGACTATCACTGCGGAGTTTGGAGGGTGCCAGGCAGGACAGGGACAGCTCCCACCCCACTGCAGGTCATCCGTACGGATGTGCCTGCCTCCTGCCTCACTGTCAGGTATGTGCTGCAGGACAGGGCTTTGCTGGTGCTGCCCTGCTCCCTGTGGGAGTGATGCCGTTCCAGGTTTTTAATGAGCGTCCAAAGGAGGGCAGTGAAGATGGTGAAGGGCCTTGAGGGTATGCCACATGAGGAGCTGTGGGGCTGAGGGCACTTGGTTCTGTTCAGCCTGGAAAAGAGGAAACTGAGGAGAGACCTCATTGCAGTTACAACTTCCTCATGAGGAGAAGAAGAGGGGCAGGCACTCGTCTCTCCTCTGTGGTGACCAGTGACAGAACCCAAGGGAATAGCCTGAAGTTGTGTCAGGGCAGGTTTAGTTTTCATATTAGAGTAAGGCTCTTCTCCCAGAGGGTGGTTGGGCACTGAAACAGGCTCCCCTGGGAAGTGGTCATAGCACCAAGCCTGACAGAGTTCAAGAAGCCTTTGGATGATACTCTCAGGCACATGGTGTAACCCTTGGGGATGGTCCTGTGCAGGGCCAGGAGTTGGACTTTGATGATCCTTGTGGGCTCCTTCCAACTCAGCATATTCTGTGATTCTGTGACCCTGCAGCCCTCACCTTCCCGGGGAGCTGGCAGTCTGCACTCAGAGTGGGACCGTCTACCTCTGGAGCGTCGAGACAGGGTGAGATGAGGCACTCAGGGCTGGCTGGGAGCTCATGCAGACAACAGTCTCAGGGGGCGGGGAGCCCAAGTGAGAGGGGCAGCCCTTCCCTTTGCTGACGCTGCCATCTCCCCGCAGGCTGCAGCAGCTCCGCCATGACCCCCAGACCATGTTTTTTCGAGACCATTCACCCTGGCGCTGGAGCGACTTCACTGCCCACCCACGGGTGCTGAGCTGTGCTGACCGCACCGGCCTGCAGTGCCTGGATGCCCGGGTGAGGCTGGGAGGGTGGGCCTGAGAGGGTGGGCACGGGGCTGGGGGCAGGCAGGGGAGAGAGTTCCCCAGCCCAAAGTGCTGACTGCACCCTGCTGTGCTGCTGCAGGCCCCCAAGAAATGCCACTTCGACTTGTTCAAGGTGGGCGAGGAAGCTGGCTGCCAGCAGGGCGAGCGTGTGGTGCTGCCCATGTACCTGGGCAGGGCTCACCCCTCACAGTACCTTGTCACCACCCAGGTGAGTCCCACCAGAGCTGGCAGCTGGGAGAGACACCCAGCACAGCTGGCTCTCCCAATGCCTGTGGGGCAGGGGGGTCGCTGTTGGGGTGTGCCCCTGCTCAGCTGCACCCTCTGCTCCAGTTCTCCGTGTATGTGCTGGACGAGCGGTTGCCACTGGTGCCTGTGCTGAAGTGGGCACACATGATGAAGGCCCCCCCACTCTTTGCCCACCTGATGCCAGGGGATCCTGGGAGGACCCATAAGGTGCTGCTCGGCGCATCCCGCACCCAGGAACTGTTGCTGCTGCAATACCGGGGTGAGAGATGGAGTTCCAGGGGTGCTGCAGGGCTTGGCTCCTCTGTGCCTGTGTCCCAGCCTCCTCACTGCTGGGACCAGCTGCTGCCCTGGCATCAGTGCTCACTGCCCGGTTTTTGGGGTATGTTTCCTCAGGGGGCAGCCAGTCAGCCTGCCAGCTGGCAGGGGCTCCACAGAAGCTGCACAGCATCGCTGGGTGCCTGCAGCACCTGCCCACCCAACTCCCACACCGCCACCACCTGCTCCAGCAGCGCCTCGGAGCCCCGGCTGCAGGTGGGTGTCCTACACTGCCCTGGGGTGCAGGTCTTGGCAGGGGAGAAGGTGGAATGGAGGGTGCAGTGTAGCCCTTGTCATGGCCTGGCTGGAGGGTGGCTGACAAAGTGAAAGCAAAGCCCCAAACAACCCTGTGCAAGAGATTAATGACCTAGAAAATGATGTGCGGGTCAGGATCTGGCAGTAAGTGCCCACTGAGGAGCGGAGGCAACCCCAATTGTTGGCCAGGCCCCTGCAGGAACCGCAGGACTGGAGCCCTGGTGAAAATGTCTTTCCTGCCTCTGCAGGGCTGGCCGCCGTGCTGCAAGAGGATGGGACTTGTGAGACCATGCTGGTTTTCCAGCTCTCCGAGGCTGGGGATGTCTTCTGCCAGAGGCTGACCCACGAGGCAGTGCATCCCCCTGCACCCACCTTGAGGGATGAGGCCACAACAGCCCCTGGCTCTTCCCCTCTCTTCGAGGCTCCAGCCAGCAGCCCACTGGGCTTGGGCAGTGAGGAAGAAGAGCAAACGTTCTACTTGCCCAACCTGGAGGTGATTATCAACGAGGAGGAGGAGGAAGAGGAGAACACAGGCACACCAGCACCCCCAGAGGAAGCTGAACTGCCCCAGGAGCCCTGTGCCAGCCCCCAGCCCACCCCAGCGGTGCCCAGCCCAGCTGCAGCCCTGCAGTACCACCGCTGGTTGAGGGCTCTTTTCAGAGGCTGCAGGGAGCCCCCCCAGCGCTCCTTGCCCCCCAGCCTCAGCCAGAGGCGCCTCTTCACCCGCAAAGAGCTGGAGGGGCCAGTGGGTCCCACTGCCCTGCAGAGGCAAGTGCGGCAGTGGCTGCGCCAGGTCATGTGGGAAGGGGGCCACATCCAGCGCTGGGAGCCCATGTCCCTCCAGGCCCCTGCCCTGCCACGGCCCCTGGAGCCAGAGGAGGGTCCGGACCCCCTGAGCACCCGTCTGACAGCAGCCTGGTCCGGGGACTGGGAGCGGTGGTGGGAGGACAGGACTAGCTTCAGTGTGGCACAGAGACAGCGGGCTCTGCGGGAGCGGCGGCGGCGGCAGAAACGAGCACGGAGCCGGCGCAGTCTCTCGGCCAGTTTTACCTCCTCCCTCACCTACCAGTCGGAGCTGTCCGAGCTCAGCGATGCAGGACCCCTGCTGCTTTCACCCGGCCGCCCACACGTTCTCTCCCAGGAGAGCTCCCCTCCAGCCAGCAGCCCCCTACCCGGCAGCCCCCCGGCCTCGCCGGCACCCGACGAAGCGCTGCTGTCCTCGCAGAGCCTGCGCTGCCGCGGCATCCCCAAGGAGCGCCGGAAGACGCTGCGGGACTACCTGTCGGTGTGGGCCGAGGGGCCCCCTGAGCCACCAGAGCTCCCTGGCAGCCAGGCCAGCCAGCTCTGCATCCCCTCCTCCCAGAGCCAGCTCTCTTCTGCCTCGCAGACCCGCCGCAAGCGCCCACGCATGGGCTTCTGAACACCAATAAACCCGCCTGGCACAGCCTCCCACCCGGGCTCCTTAACTGCTTGGTCACAACACCCACCCGTACAGGGAGGGGAGGTCGGGCGGCATCCCCGCGGTCGGGACT